CCTTGGAGATGTACTATTTCCAACCCAAGGAAATACACACCAATTTCTTCCAGACAGTTAACCATTTATTCTTTTGAAAAAAAAACAGCAGTAAAAAGGCCCGGCTGCTAATTGCTATTACAAAAGTCGCACACATCATCACTTCCGGGCAACGTGATTGGACGATTAATAGTTACAGCCGATGTGTGTCAAAAGTCAAAGCTTTGCAGTTACGCCTACGAAACATTGTTCGTATACAATGTGGTTTTGAAAATTTATGTTTATAATATCTTCTCTAAACATGCACGCTATAGATCTGTAATACTTCTGTAGCATAGATGACGTAAATGTGTGTACGTGATGTCACTATGGTAACACGGATTTCCAAAGGCAATATTTGAACACTATTATCATGTAACAGCTGTAAGTTGACAACATATACGTACGTATGATATATATGGACAAATATACTTGGGTATACTGTGTGTGTATAAGGTCAAGGATTTATGAGATACGAATATACAACTGGTAAGAAAAAGTTCAAAGTCGCGCGAGAATAGCGAGATCATCCCAAATCCTGACGACATGCGTACAGTTCTTGAAAGGTTAATGCAAATGAGCCAGTCTGTGAAAGAATGGCGACAAGTGCTCTTGTTCATTCGCGTGTTACGCGTTTTGTATGCCACTTTGAATTTCGGCTATAGTCTCGTTCATATGTTTTGCATATTCGAACCTCGAGCGTTCATCTTATTGTGAATGAGATATTCTTCGTATATAACAGTGCATATATATCAAAGTTGCATGCCCTTGTTTCATAAATCATTGATGTCATGGTGGCGGAAAATAAATTCGACATATAATCCGTAATGTAAAGCTCTAACACAATGCACATGTTTGAATATTTAATAAGTTTTAATATTATGAAAATAATCGACATAATGATTTTAAATTCTAGCTGTTATTGGACAAAGTGGTGAAATAATATTACCTACGATTACCGAACAATTTTTTATTTGATATTTTCCGTGACATTCTAGTATGAAGAGAATTGCACCACGTTGTTCATTAAAAACTTATACATGTTATCCACGCCAATTTCATTTTTAGAATGAACAAATATTAATATAACTTTCTCTTGAATGTTGTACTTCAGGCAACAACCCACGTCAAACCACGGAAAACCACAGAGTTAGGAAGTTCCCGTGTATGTAATCTTGAAAATCCAACTTCGAAAAATGTTCACTCTACCTTAAGTTTTTCATGTACATCGTTAACACTCAATTATGCGTATCATTACCCTAAGCGGGCTGTTTATGATGTCGTTGAACCCCTCAGCTCACACAAAAGAAAGTCTAAATACGTATAATATAAACATGTAACCCGAAGATTCTTTTGGTATGGAATGAATGAAGACGTCAGTCAAGTTGTCAGCTCTATTTCATAGTAGAAGCACATCTCAAACTAGGTGTCATTCAATAGACTAATTAACGTTATGTAACATGAACTAATTCAAGTACAATATCACACAATGCGCGTACAGACAATCATGGAAAAACATTGCATAATTACACAATATCGAGCCAAGCGGAGAAGCAATTAATAACTACTCACCACGTGCCGTAACACAGGCATTGGCAACATAGTAGTTGTTCAATTTGACGCCACTCTCAGCGAGCCTGTCAATGGTTGGTGTCTTTATGTTTGAATTGTGATACCCAACGTCATTCCATCCGAGATAATCAACAACAAAGATAATGATGTGAGGTGGGTCAGTATTTGAACTGACAATAGCAAAATCAGAAAGACAATAGCAGAATAAACATCGTCCAGTAATGCAAGTTTAAAACATTTCGAACATGGGTCCACTCGGATTTTAGTAGCCCGTAGTAAACTTATACATCACACCTTAGGGCTGGCGCAACCGGAAATGGCAACATGTACATTTCAGTTGTCCCGATACTAATTTTCATTTTTAAAAAAATCTATTCCGTTGTTACGGTATATTTATCAGTGAGATATAACAAAATGTGGAATTTCGTATTATGTGTTTATTTCTATTCAATGAAACAAATGTTCTATTTTTCAACTACGATTCCTGTCCATGTAGTTGCCTACTATGAAAACGACACTTGGGAATTCTGCTGATGGAGTCCAAATCCATTTAGAAAAGGCGTTTCAAACGTAATATAGTGAGTAAAATGCCGTATTTGAGCTCTAACATAGTCACATACAATTGTTCAAGCCGATGGAAGATATGCAGTGATCTATCATCTATCTTGGTTCTTTATCAATAAGAACAAATCAAGGCAAGGCGGGATTTTATATCAACATAGCTTGCTTACTGTTATTTCGTTAACAGAAGGTGTTTTTTAAGATAATCATTTCTACGAACTAGTGTCACGTTTAAACATGGTATTTTTTTGGATTTTATTCCGTAAAATGCTGATAGTGATGATTTATAACAAGAAATAGGGGACAGTGCGTTGTCTGTTATTCCTTAATGTATGTGTACTGTGACTGAGTGTATTCTGTAGCGTGTGCGTTTTTTCAACCCATGTTGGTGCTGTTCAGTCTCACGGTCATCCACTCCTACAATTCATTGTTTATTTGACAAAAAAATAAAGCTAACTGCATTAACAGTGTGGCACTTTAAAATAAACGTTATACAAGAATTGTCCTGAGGTTGAGTAAATCCAGAAAAATACAGGTTTTAATAAGTATTTCCTCTAACTTAATGCGTATGTAACTGTTAGATTCAGGGGTCACAGCAGGAGGAAGTTTGTTTTACATGTGCAACCAAATTCATGACCAGCGGCGTGTAGATACGTCATCACAGGCTTCCATAAAGGCTTCCGCGTTACAGAAGTCCAGCACCCACCTGTAACATTTAGTAGCATATACACTCTTTATTTCAATACTATACATGCGTAGTAGTGCTGCTTGAGAAATAGGAATAGTAAACAATGAATTATTTAAAGTGGATTCATGAAACACGTTTGTCAAATTATGAATCATACAAAAATACCGTGTAGCTTATAATACTAGCAATATCATAACGCTGGTTATAATTCAATTATTGACATTGTACTTGTCCTTGCATTATCAGACTTAATCAGACTTTTCAAGACCACTGAAACGTGTATAAATCCCAACCTCGAGTATAGCTCCACATATCACAACATTCAGATAGTCGGCTAACATATCATCTGAATTTTACAGAGCGATTTCGTTTTACGTCGTTGTTTGCGAGACTAGAAACCAATATGGCATTTATTTCAAAAGTGTATAAAATGTATTTAAAAAACTGCAGAACTGAATACTGCCAATAAACGCTTAAATACGCATATTATCAATCAATTGCGTGTCTGAGCCATGTGTATCAGAACAAAAATACACATAGCCCTACAGGTACTGTGCGCTACTATCAAATAAATATAATCCTGATATATTGATTGTCATGTCATTATAGTACTCCGAGACAGAGACAGAGACAAAGTGAGTTATATGATGTTAATGCGATAAGTATTCATATAAAGATCAACAAACTAAACTGACTAACCCAATTAACCAACAAAAGAACCAAGCCACCTTTCCAACGACCATCCCAATAACTGATTAAATTAGATGTCCAATTTATACCTTACTACCAAGCGTATCACCTGTTGATTTCTGTATGCAAGATGTTTGGTTTCATCCTACATTGTTAAAACAAGAAAGTAATAATATTTTATTTGATACGTGTTGACCACTTTATAAATGCACCCATGGCCCAATGCACTCAACTACAGCAGCTTTGTTCATCCTTGGTCTCGTTTCCATTTGGGCGGGCACTGCCCTATTTGCGTATTCTTCAAGTTTGCCGAGCATCTCCTTTACAATACCACGGTTTTCCTTGGATTCAGACACATCAGTTGTTTCGAAAGGATCGACGGCTAAATCGTATAATCTAACCATACGTTGCCTATCAAAGTTGTCTTCCGTGATTTCAACTGCGGGATGATGAAACTTGGGTGGCTTCATCCAAGAACTTCTAGCTGAAAATATTGAAAAAAAAATAATATTAAAAGAAATATTTCCACGAATAACAATTTGATTTTAGGCAATAGTTATAATTGCTATACTGGCTGTTCTTTGTGGAAAATAAATCATATTTTCATACAAGAAAATAGTACACACTCTCCAATTCCAATTGAAGTGTGTATACGAATAACAGAAACGCACTAAATAAAAGTACCATACTGCGTAGTCATTAATTTGTTTAGCATCCTACAGGAAACATCGTAGAATAACTATAGTTAAAGAAACAATCTCGCATTAAGCAGTGTTTTGAACATGGGTGTGAAAATTACCGGCAAGGTACAGAAACTCACTTTCAAAAGCTCTGTGTCAATGCACGTGTACATCGATAGTAATAACAAACATCAACCACATCTAAATAATTACAAAACACTAGCACGGGTAGCATACTGCGTAATCATTTATTTGTTCAGCGTCCTACTGAGAACATTGTAGAACAACTATAATTGAGGACGCAATCTCGCATTAAGGAGTAAGTGTTTTGAACAGGGTGTCAAGATCACCGGCAAGGTACAGAGACTCAATTTCAACTGCTCTACGGCAATGAATGTGGACATCGTTAGTAATAAAAAACATCAGCCACATCTACATAATTACAATACACTATTGACTATCAGGGCACCCCATACAATTTCTCTAGAAATCGCGTCCTCTATTCACAAAGCGCTTTCATAGCGTGAATGTGTGACGCGAGTGTCGTTCAAAGCGTCGATATCATTGAGATCTGTAGTCGTCCAACAATGAACATTGCATTTTCGTGGATTCGTAATATATTCTGAATTAACGAAACACATTTTTTCTTTTGGACTTCCAATTATCGAGGCAAACAATTTGTCGTGTAAATCAATCAATCCCATCAATGGGTAAAACATACATGTGCGGGTCTCTTCGTAGGCTGCTGAACTATAAAGATGAAAATATAGATGAAGAGGGTGTACAGTATTAGGGGATTGTGGGAGCCTACCCTTATTTTGTTACCGTGTTAAAATATGTGTGAAGTATAAGTTAAAAATTACTTGCATGGATGAAAACAGATTACCCCAAAAAACTTACCGGATGCTACTTTCACTGAACGAAAAAGGACAAAGGCCACAGAAATTAAAGAATTGCTATATAAATATGGATTTGGCTATGTCTGGTTTAATCAAGGGGTGGGGGACTTTGATATGTTCTTGTACAAATTTTGTGAACGGGTCAAATATATTGGATTTACAAATTGGTATATAGACGTTTGTACTGGCGAAAAAACGCAGTATTATAGGCAATACAAAACAAATTGAAAACTTTCCACAATTAAAATTGCGCAGAGCAATAGCAATATTAAGATGTGCGTGCCATCCCTTAGAAATAGAAAGAAGCAGACGTGGTAATATCCTAGTG